GTATATACTACATATATTCTCTCTCTCTCCATACATACACACACACACACACACACACACACACACACACACACAGCCCAGCCTGGAAAGACAATCCAGGCAATACGGTCCTCTATGGTCACTCTGGATAAAACTAAACAAACATTAGAGCTTTAAATTTCAAAAAATTCAGGCTGGAGAGATGGCTCAGTGATTAAGAGCACTGGTTGCTCTTGCAACCAGAGTTCAATTCCCAGCATTCACATGGCATGTAACAACCATCTGTACCTTCAGTTCCTAGGGAATCCAACGACCTCTTCTGACCTTCACAGGCACTGCATGACACATGTACACTTATACACATGCAGGTAATACACTCAGAAAATAAAAAAATAAATAAAATTTATTAATTTTATATTTAAATTTTACATTAAAATTTTAAATTCCTAAAAATTTAGGCCTTGGAAAGTAGCTCAGTTTGTCGAGTACTCGCTTAGCATGCACAAGGCCCTGGGTTCAATACCCAGCACTGAATAAACCAGGTGTGGTAGTACATGCCTATAATCCCAGCAGCCAGGAGGTGGTAAAGCAGGAGGATCAGAAGCTCAAGGCCATCCTCAACTACATAGCAAGTTTGAGGCTCATCTAGGGCATGTAAAACCTTATAAGAGAAGAAAAAAACTAATCCTAAAACGATAGACAGCTAGATCTACAAGGCTGAGTACATTATAGAAGTAACAGGTTTCCATTGGCACAAAACTCTGTTTTTTATCTTTAATTTTTTTAAAAAAATTTTATTTTATGAGTGTTTTGTTTGCATCTATTTAAGTGCACCTGTGTCCTGCAATGCCCACAGAGGCCAGAAGAGGGTGTCAGATCTCCTGGGACTGGAGTTATGGACCTTTTGTTATCCACCACGTGGATGCTAGGAACTAAACCTAAGTCCTCTGCAAAAGCAGTCAGTGCTCTTAACTACTGAGCCATTTCGCCAGTTGCTAGGTTTTGTCTTTTTGAGACAGGCCCTCACTATAGAGCACACACTGGCCTGGAACCCATGGTCCATCTGCCTCAGCCCCCAAATTGGTGGAATTAGAGGCATGTGCCATTATACCCTGCTAGGTCCTGAATTCTCTGAAAATGGCTAAGCCATTTCCCTACAGACATTTTTCACAAATCTCAATTTTCAAATTTATACCCTAATCAAATTATTAAAGCCTAGTTTTCATTAAACTGTATTTAATGTTGGTGATTAAGTAAATCATCTCATCCAGGTAAAGCTCATCCGAGAATCATTCCTGTTTTTCTCTCTGTCCTCCTCTGCTTGGCTTCTCTTCACAGTGCCTGGGCATTGTGGCACCCACTGCAAAAGCCTCCTCAAACCGTGCTGCATTTTTTAGTTCCTGTTCCTCTACCACTGCAATTTTTCTAGATAATCAGTACCTGCTGTTCTCTAAGAGAACAAGTAGTTAGTCATGGAAAACACTGTATTAAATTATCCACAGGGATAATTGATGTCAACAGGAAAAAGCTGATCTCACAGTCTTCACTTTCCTTGGTTTTACTCTAATAAAGTCCTTTGTCCTTTTCTAATTATTATAAAAGTCACAATGCTCTATATGAAAATGGAGAAAAATATAACAAAGAAATAAAAATCACCCTTTCTTCTTCCTTCTAAAATACACCTAATCACTGTCAACACTGCTTTTTTACTACATGTATGGATGCATAAACTATGCTCTGGATTGAACTGTGCTGCAGAAAAAAGGTACACTCAAGCCATAACTCCCAGAACCCATCAACATAACCTTATTTGGAAAGAGGACATTTGCAGATATAATGAAGTTAAGATGGGGTCATGCTGGTTTAGGAGGGATAACAAATCCAGTTGTGGTGTCTACATGAAGAAAATCTGGATAGATACAAATGAAATAATGTGAGGACGAAGCAGAGATTGACATTACAGTGCCATAGCCAAGGGTGCCACAGACTGTCAACAACCACCAGAAGTGACAAGAGGCAAGGAAGGATTCTTCTCCACAGGCTCTGCAGGAAGCACGGCCATGAGGACAGCTTGATTTTGAATGCTAATCCTCCAGAACTGTAAAGGAATATATGTTGGTTGCTTTAAGTCTCCCAGTTGATGGTAATTTGTTATGGGAAATTAATAAAATATGTTTTATAAAAGTGAGGCTCTCTCAATATATTTTCTAAATATTTTCTAAAACCTTTGTTTCTGACTCAATACTTCATTGATGATTCCTCATGATACCAATTCACTTTAACAGTCCTTCTAACCTGTTCTTGGCTTGCATGATTATTTAACCGGTATCTTATTGTTTTGGTGGTTATCAGCTTTATTGTTACAAATAATGTTGAAACTAGCATCTTTTAATTACATCAAATATTTAATTGCTTCTTCTCTTAGAAATTGACAGTCTGTGTCCATGTACATTCCTATTAGTATATGACTGTACCTACTCCCATTAACACCAGGTTTTATTTTTTATTGAGTTTTTGTTTGTGTTTTGTTTGTTTTGTTTGAGACAGGGTCTTGCTTTGTAGCTCAGGGTGACCTGGAACTTACTATGTAGGCCAGGCTGGCCTCCACCATGCAATCCTCCTGCCTCAACCTTGTGAGAGCCAGGATTGCAAGTATGTGCCATGCTCAGTTCAACACTGGATTTTCTAATGTGGGAAAAAAAAAAAACAGAACAACATTGGCAAGTTGATAAGAAAACACACACACACACACACACACACACACACACACAGAAACAATTTTGTTTACCTTGAGAAAACTGCCTGAGACACAGAGACTCAATAAATGGTGGCTCTTGTTTTATTAGCTTATAGTTAATACAGAATTCATCCTATCTCCACTGATCTGAAATGTCCATTTCATTGACTATATTCTTACATGTATTAAGATCTGAGCTTTCTGATTTAGGCCTGAATTTTATACTCCTCCTCCATTATTCTACATACATATGACCAAAAGAGACTTGTAAGGCATTCTTGATTGAAGTCATTGGAGTAAGGAAAAAAAAATCTATGGGGAACAGATGAGGGACAGGAAAAGAGAGCAGAGAGACTTTTACCATATTTCACAATCACAACCTAACCTCAGTTTCCTCACATACCAGGAGGTGGCCTTATCTTCTTCTGTCTCCTTTGAACAGGAGCCTCTGGATACTCCCTGAGTACTGGAGCTGGTGACTCATTGCTCTCAGATGGCCTATTAACACCAGGCTCAGCAAGGCCTTCCGAAGAAGCTACAGGAAAACAGAAAAAACGTGTTAGCCTGAGCAGAGATCACTGCATTTTAAAAAGGTAGGAAAGGGATAACCACATTGTTTTCTGCACAGTAACACTTTCTCTTTCTGAATCTTACCTCAACACTGACTTCCTACCTCCTGACCTAAACCTTTGGGCTTTAGGTCCACACTAGAAAGAAGTGTGGGAAAGCCGAGGAAGAAAGGGGAGAATAAGAGCAATGGAGTAAAGAGGAGCAATTGCTTCAGAACAGTCAGAACTTCCAGAAAGGTGCAAACATAGTAAACCTTGACACCAGAAAGAACTCTGCAGTCCCTTGCCTTAAGAATTTCATCGGTCTCTCAGCTCAGTTCGTCTGGAGAATTACCTGGAGTTAACAAGTAATTTACAGGTCGCATTTGACCATGTGTTTTATCTTTTCCCTGAGTGAAATCTCAACAGAATTTCAGCGTATTTTGGCAGACTTAAATTGTTCTTGACTATTTTACCATGCCTATCGATATTCCTTACAAAAGAAGAACTAGAAATGTACTGACAAATGAAAATACTCTTAGCCTCACTAGTATTTAGAGAAATGCCAACTTTGGGCTAGAGAGGTAGGTTAGTAGATCATTTGCCTAGCATGTGGGTGCCTTGGTTTCCCCAACGCTGGGGAAAAAGGTGGCTAAGAAATGCAAACAAGAAATAAGCTACTTTTCATTCAATGAATTAGTAAAAAAAATTCTTTTGAGACAGGGTCTTGCTATATAGCCCTGGTTGGCCTAGAACTCAGAATGTAGACCAGGCTGGCCTCAAACTCAGAGATCTGCCTGCCTTTGCCTCCCAAGTACCCAGCTTCAAATTTTTAAATACTGATGTTGCCAATATTATTAAAGGAATTAGAGAATGTGACACTCTCACACTTTATGACGGCAAGAAAATAACAGAAGGCTATTTAGCAAAATCCATCACATCAATAACAAATATATCCTTTCGCAGCTAGCAAGCTATAATGTAGAAATAACTTCTTGACAACTACAGCATTGTTTGGAATGAAAATTATGAAATAACTTAAACAACAGTCTCTAAGGGACACCTAGAGTACTGTATGAAGAGTGAAGGCAATATAGAAATACAGAAAGTTATTCCTTCTATGCATGGATTAAAAACCATCTCTACCCAAACTTTGTAGACTTGTAAAATGATAGAAATAAAGAATGAAGTTAAGCAAGATGGAGGGTTCAAGCCCACTAGAAAAACAATGGGTTTCATTATCAGCAAAAGTATAAATATGAAGTAAAAACTGACAATTGAAGTGATCAATTCTGAATGTGTTGAGTGAGTTACCAACAGAACACCTAGGATGACCAGGGCAACTAGGACACAAGAGGTTTATGGGTCTGCTTATTATTGAAGCTTGAAGGCAGGGATGGTGTGGCCCTGCTTTCAGGAATTTGCTCTAACACAGAATAGGGGAGTTAAGAACTCAGGTCTCTAAATACAGTACTGTGTTCAGGGATCCAAAACCAAGCATCACTTAAAATTACTTATGTTGGGGGCTGGAGAGATGGCTCAGCAGTTAAGAGCACTGAATGATCTTGCAGAGGACCTGGGTTTGATTCCCAGCACCCACATAGCAGCTACAAACCATCCTTAACTCCAGTTCCAGGGGAATCTGAAGCCCTCTTCTGACCTCCATGGCATTGCACGACACGGGGACACTCACATGCAGGCAATACATTCATACACATAAAATAATAAATAAAATATTTATTTTAAAAAATCACTTAGGTACAAAAGACCTAAACAGCTCAACAATATTGTAAGCACTGAGTTCAGGAGGCATAATACTTTAATCTTTAATCTGTGAACATGCCTTGCTCCTCTCTAGGTTACTGCCTTGCGCCCCCGTCCTCAATGTACCAGTGACTTGGTGCTGCTGGGACCTTGTCTCTCTTTAAACTGTGATCATGTGAGATCCTGGGAAAACTTCTGATCTCTCCCACAACACAGAAGAACTTCTTACCTAGTGTACTTTTTGTTCTGGACTTCTTTTTCTTAGGATGACGATGTGGAATGTCATCTGTAAAACAGAAAAAAAATCAGTAGAAAAAAAAGCAGAGAACAGCTAGAATAGAACCTGTGGGAAGATCTTTTTTCTCTCTTTTCTCTAGATTCTGCCAACTTCTGCATATGAGGAGAAAAAGTAAAAAACTGATAAGGCCAAAGAGAGCCCACAGTGTGGTACCAGTAACATACTGTTGCTTAGCAATGTTTGTACCTGTGACATAGGAAGTGGGCTCAACAGGTGTTTGCCTAATCCCATAGTCTCCAGCCCCTGTACTTAGGTGTGATCTAGACTGGTTCTGGCCAGGAGACTGGGGAGAAGTGGTGTGTGTCTGTCTATGGCCACTGAAGATACCTGATCTTGTTGACCTCAGAAGCTAAGCACAGTGGGGCCTGGTCAATACTTGGATGGGAGAAGTGATATATGTCATTTGGGAGCCAAAACACTGAAAAAGCCTGCTGCCATGTCAAATGAAGAAGCTTCATGTAAAAAGACAGAATGCCCAAGACAAAAGTAGCCTCAAAAAGTAGCCTCGATCTCATGACATCGTTAACAAAGGCAACTGCTCTGGACTGCTGCTCAGTCAACTTCACAATTAATTTAGTAGTATTTCTTTTCTTTCTTTACAAAAAAAATTTTTTAATATTTATTATTTTTATTTTATGTGTATTGCCTACATGTATGTGAGTGCACCCGTGTCGTGCAATGCCATGGATATCAGAAGAGGGCTTCAGATTCCCCTAGAACTGGAGTTAAGGATGGTTCATAGCCGCCATATGGGTGCTGGGAATCGAACCTGGGTCCTCTGCAAGAGCAGTCAGTGCTCTTAACTGCTGAGCCATCTCTCTAGCCTCACAAAAAATTTTAAACAATTATTTATTTTGTGTATATGTATGTGCATGTGGGTATGTTTGTGGAAATGTGCATGTCATACCTTGTGTGTGACTGTCAGTTCTTTCCTCCCACCACTTGAATTCCAGAGATCAAACAGGTCCTCATGCTAGGTAGCAAGTGCTTTCACCCACCAAGCCATCCCAATGGTTCATCCATCAGCCCAACCTAATATTATTTCTAATAAATTTGCATGATATTAAGGAACTAAAACTTTGGAGGTGATTAGTGTAGCATAACCTTGCCTATCCTGACTAAAGAAAAAAAGGAAAGGTACTGTCTATTACAGAGAAATAAACTAATTAAGTGTTATCCTGGGGACTTCATAGATGAAATGCTTTTTAAAACAATGCACAATCTAGTGTTATATACCATACATAGTTTTAAAATCAAACTTTTTAAAACTATATTTTATTATTTTTATTTTATGTGTACGAGTGTATTGCCTGCATGTATGTGAGTGCACCCACGTCGTGCTATGCCATGGAGGTCAGAAGAGGGCTTCTTTGGAGTCTCCTGGAACTGGAATTAAGGACAGTTCGTAGCTGCCATGTGGGTGCTGGGAATTGAACCCGGGTCCTCTGCAAGAGCAGTCAGTCCTCTTAACCACTGAGCCCCCAAACTTTTTTTTTGAGGTAGGGTCTCACTATGGTGAGGCTGGCCTTGAACCCCTTTTTGTTTCTCCAGGCCCCAAACTTTTTTTTGAGGTAGGGTCTCACTACGGTAAGGCTGGCCTTGAACCCCTGGGCTCAAGCAGTTCTCCTGCTTCAGCCTGTTAAGTAGATGGGACTATAGTTGTATACCAACCTCCCTCCCCCCAGCCCCCTGCTTCCACTTCTCTTTTCTCCTTGAAACAGGGCCTCACTATGTAGTCTAGGCTGGCCTCAAACTCACCATTTCCCTACTATCACCTCCCCAGAACTAGGATTCCAGGTGTGGGCCACTATGCCCACCTTCACACATATTTTTGAACTCCAAATACTACATTTAGAAATTTTCACACTAATAGTAAACTAACTCACCTTGAATAGCACTTCACATGACCCCGACCAAATTTAATCAGCAGAACAAAGACAAAAAAGGAAACTATTAATTAAAAATCTATTTTATTGTGACTGAAAATTGACTTACATCATCATAAACTTAAAACCAGCTTTCACACAATGTCAGCTAACTTATCAACTAGCTTATTATTTTTAAGAGCAGTGCTAACAAAATATTTTTCTGAAACTATACATATTCCCTACTATTTATTAATAAAGTGGGTTAAGCCCATTAAGAACTCTTCTTTTTCATGGATTAAAATCAGCTTAAACTCTGAAGAAACTATTCTAGGAAACACAAGAGGATAAAGACAAGAATTCTGATGAGCAAGGCACTAGAACATTCAGAATGGTCCACTATTCTATCATGTTGCCATTAAAGCTTTTCTAAATATTTACTTATACCTGTTATCCTCATACTTCGGATTTATTTTTTGGCTTTTAAATTTTTATGAAGTCGTTTACTGAAGCATTATGACTTTAATGACACTATTACATTTTTCTACTTTACTTATTTTACATTTTTAAAGCTCAATAATGAAATCATTGTATTTACCTTGGCACAGGAGGAAGGGCTCGTGGAGGACACTATGGAGATGGAGAGAGGAAAAAAATACTTGTAAAAACAAGCCCAGAGCACCTTTCCTTCGTGCATTTCAAATATCACAAAGCTAGTCTTTAAAAAGCTAGTTAAGATGTGACAGAAACAGAATGGATTTTTTTTTTTTTTTTTTTTTTGATAACTGTGCTTGTCAGTGAAACCTGGGATGGGGCTGATGCAGATCAGATGGATGAGTTTAGATTTGTCTACCATTTCTACATTTCAAATAAAATTCTTTTCTTCTGACATTTCTACCTGCTGGCCTGGCCTATTGTAGTATTCAGAATAGGAACAAAACACTTCTATGGAACTTACATTCTAATGGTTAAGTATTAGAAGATAATGTTACATATTTATCATAGAAATATAACACATCTTATATGTAACAT